GCATCATAGATTTTCCAAAATAAACAAAATATAAAGATAATTTAGTTAAAACTACAAGTAATCTGAATGCATTCCACTAAAGAGGAGGAAGCAGAGTAATTGGAGACTGAGCTTAGTGAAAAGAAAAACCTTGGGCTGAAAACTATCCCACCAGCCAGAGTCTGCGGCTTTAGGCTCGACTGGAACCAAGCTTAAGTTTTTCTTCAATTTCCTATCTTTCTTGCTTTTCTTTGATTTCTTGGGAGGCGCCATGAGAGCTCAAATGAGGAATTGCCCACCTCTTTTTTGGCCTTGAACTTGAAGACTTTGATGGAAAGTGATTCAGTGAAGCTAGCCAGACAGGGAGGGAAATGCAAAGCTCGTATAGCCATTTTTGGCCTTTTTTATATAATAAATAATATAGCCGCACGGCTATACTACTTAAATATTATATTTAAATGGTATAGGCACCCGGCTATACTGGCATCTTTTTTTTCTTTTTTTGGGGCACAATTTTTTTCCCTAATTTTCGTTTATCGATAAGAGTAGTTAAGAGCATTATCCATTATTGTTAGGCCATTACCTGAGTCTCTATTATCCTATTTTGATTTTTCACTTTTCCAGAGTTATTACCTCTATAAAGAATTTAGCATTTTCCCGTTTAATACATATATTATACACTTATGTATGTATTTTTCAATAATTTTTCCGTTTTCCGTACATGTCCTAAAGACTTTGTAAAATACACATTTTTAAAAAAAGAAAACAAACGTACAATAGTACGTACATATTTTTCATGTTTAATACACATGTTTTTTTACAAAATTTTCAATTATACACACAAAATTCACATATTATACACATAATTTTCATATACTATTGAATAAAAATAATATATATTAATTCTTTTTAATATATATTATACACCTATATGAAAAAGTAACCAAAACAATGTACCCCAAACTTGAAAGTTGAGAAACCTAGCAAAGGCTTATAAGGAGTTGAGTTACTCCCCCCCATTGCCAATTGGTTTTGGGGTGGAATCTCAACTTTCTTCATGGTATCAGAGCAGGTTAGACCACTCAATATGTGTTGTCCACTTGCTAGACTTGAAAATTCACCACACGTGCGGAGGCGTGTGAGAATGTGAAAGTAAAGAGTCTCACATTGAAAGGTTGAGAAACCTAGCAAAGGCTTATAAGGAGCTGGGTTACTACCCCCATTGCCAATTGGTTTTGGGGTAGAATCTCAACTTTCTTCAAACATTTTTGTCAAAAGCTGTTTACTTGATTAGCATCGGAAGCAATGATTATTTTGCACCATTCACATCAAATTCCAGTTTGTGTAAGTCCCACTCGCACAGAGAGTATGTTGGCTTAGTTATTGGCAACCTTAAGAAAGTGATCAAAGGAATATACACTGTTCTTCTTTCAAACATATAAAACATGGCAAACATTTTGAGTCTAGTTTCTTCTTGTTCCGAGATTTCATTACAGTCCATGTTACATGTTTTTGTTGCAGGGAATATACAAGAAAGGAGGAAGGAAATTTGGGGTTGCGAGTGTGGTGTCTCTTGGTTGTTTACCAGGCACAAGAGCGTATAACTCAGAAAACACAGATGCCTGTGTGGAACAAATTACAGAAGTCGCGAAACTACACAACCGACAACTTGCTAAAGCCCTCCTAAAGCTGAAGAGACAGCGCCATGGATTCAAATATTCAAATCCAAATTTGTACAATTACATAAATGAAAGAATTGAGCATCCATCAAAATTTGGTAAGGGAAAATAAAAAGCCAGCCATATAGCACCTTCTGCTTTTAATTTTAGCTTCTATTTTAGCTATTTCTAATGTTTCCTTCTTGTTGTTGTTGTCATGTTTGTGAAGGTTTCAAGGAAGGAAAGGTGGCATGTTGTGGCTCTGGTCAATACAGAGGAATTGATAGCTGTGGAGGGAAGAGAGGTGTGACAGAGTATGAATTATGTGACAATGTTTCTGAGTATGTGTATTTTGACTCTGGCCATCCAACTGAAAGGGTTTACCAGCGCGTGTCCAAGTTGAAGTTTAGACAAAAATGTGGATTGATTAGTTTTTTTAACCAACTTAGAATTTTGCATACAAAACTTCTGTTTAAAAATAAGTTCATGGTTTGATATATCATCTTTCTAGTATATATGTTTGCTTTGAGTTTTTATCAAGTATAGTCAAAATTTAACCCCCAAATTCATAAGGGAGTGTATTATGATTTTTAAAAAGTCAAATGGAGTTTATATCCAAATGGCCAGCCTTTTAGTATTGTAGAAATAAACTCTGTAAACTCGTGGCAGGATCCCAAAAACTGTTCAATGGTTATAGTATTTGAACATTACACAATTGAAACAGAAAATAAAAATTTTGGCTTGAATATTCGTCCTTCACTATTGTTTTCAATAACTTTACGTATGTGGGTAGCGCAGTGATAGGAATTTTTAGTACCTGCGCAAACAGGGTTAAAATCACTTAAAATACTTGCAAGAATACAAGGATATTGTAGTATAGATGCTCATGCAAGGTCGTTGTCCCCAAAGATTGTTTGACTAATTTGTAATTAAACTAACTCTTAATTAATAACTAAATAGATTTTATCAAAGATGTGAAATTTATGAATTTGAAAAGATTAACTTGACAATAAAAGAAATCTGAAAGTTGGGAGGTAATAATAGCAGAGAATAAAAATGTTTTAAAAATAACAATATAGAGAGAAACTAGGGTTTAGCCGTCGCCGTTACAATCCTATGCAATTTTATCAGTTACTTATGAAGTTCCACATATATGCTTTGAAGGTTAGGTTTTCCTAATGCATATTTTCCTTGTGATGTCCAAGCGAAAACGTATATCTAACATGCAATCCGTCTGTGATGTTCAGATCAAATATAAACATGCAAGACTCATTAAGCTTTGTGAAAACCCTTTGAAAAACCATGCAACCCTTAAGAGCGTGATGTTCGCCTTAAGTGAACTTACAATTATTAATC